TGCATGACTCTGGCAAGGGCTAGGGACAAAGGAAAGCAATCATGTTATATGTGGTAGGACTGCTTGCTTTTATTTGAAGGTCTTCTTTAAAATTACATATATGTTTACAGCCCAACCAAAGGGAAATGGTATGAGAACTCTGGATGGGCTATAGAAAGCCCAGGCATATTAGTTCCCTAGGTTGAGGTTTCTACTGGGATGAACAGAATTGCCCTGGCTCCACCTTGGATTCACATGTGACTGGTGAGACCCAGTATCTATTAGGCCTTGGTTTCTATAGGTGAAGGTTGATGCTAAACAAGTACAATTATCCCACATTCAAATTCAACATTAATTATATGAGGGAAGTCATTCTAATCCCATATAGGACTAGAGAACCAGAATCAAATTCGAAAACTTTTTTTGGTGGTATTGGGGTTGGAACGCAGGGCTTTGCACTTGCTAAGCAGGCAGTCTACCACTTGAGCCATTCCTCCAACCCTTTTGCTGTGGTTATTTTTTAATAACTTTTTACCTAGGACATCCAGGACTTCGAGCCTCCTATTTATGCTTCCCACATAGCTGGAATGATAGGTGCAAACTATCACCTCCAGCTTTTTATTGGTTGAAATGGGTTGCAAACTTTTTATCCAGACTTGCCTTCAACTTTGCCTCCTGAATAGCTGGGATTACAGATTAGAGCTACTACATTTGGCTCAAAACCAATTCTTAGCACAATCTGCAAAAATTTAAGTAAATGGATCCACCTTCTCTCCTTTTGATGTTGTATGTATATTCTCCTTTTGATGTTGTATGTGTATGTTTGCTATAGACACTCTATGTTGTTGGCTGCTTTTCATCTTAGGTTTTATAACAGGCCTAGAAAGAATCTTTTCTCCAGGGACTTGAAGTTGGCTGCTGTTAGCAGATGAGAATTTGCCTGCTAGTGCTAATCCAGTCACATCATCTGCAGGGATAACTTGAGGGTATTATTCAAGCTCTCTTGTGGCTGGTAATCTGTTAATTAGCATTGAGGAATTCATTTGAGGTCTGAGAGGGGCCCGTTGGACTTACCCCGTCATCACATCTTGGCACTGCAGATATTCCATTGGGTGTCCTCATGCAATCAGGTCAATGGGCCGTGAAAGTGAAGGTTAGCTTGGTATTTACTTCCCAAGGTGATCTCTTGAATCCATAAGGACTCCTAACTGTCTATGCAGTTTCTTTTTCCCTAGAGTCGGGATAGTGGCTTCGCTGTGCTTTCAGAAATGGTTTGAGGACAGTTTAAAGCCCAGGAAGAGCAGACCTCAGGGCTGCCTAGATGCATCACCCACAGCAGGGCCTAGGCTCATGCCAGCCAGGCCAAGCCAGGTGTCTTCTGCAGTGCTGGGACAACAATTCCACTTATGATTTGAGGGAGGAAGAAGGAAACCAGGATAAGGTCTCTGGGTGGTTCTGTGGAAAGAGGGGCCTGGGAACATCCTGGTTCTGTAGTGGTGGTCACTTACATGTATAGCCATGCAGTGCCTCTCCAGGAAGGATAGAGTGGGGTGGGCAAAGGCTCTTCTTTGTGTGGATTCCTAGATGCTTGATTCTAAAGGACACACACACACACACACACACACACACACACACACACACACACACACACATTTTAACGATGGGCAAAAAAATATTCTTTTTTTGCTTCCTTAAAAGAACTATAACCCTGTGTTGATAATTGTTTTCTATTTAGAGCTATCTCAATTTGAGATTACTTCTATACTTCTTACTTCTTACTTCAGATCGATCCACAGTGGGAGTGGAAAACATGAGACTCCCACTCCGCCTCTCCCTCCTTTGTGCCATGTCATCAGAGCTCCCAGCTCTCTCTGTGTAACCTTCTCACTGTTTTGGCCACTCCCACGTAGGCTTTTAGCTAAGCAATGGGTCCAGTGAACATCCAAACACCACTCTACTCCACTTAACCCCAGTTCCAGTCAACCACAAGACCCTGGCCGACAGAGTGGCCTCTTAGAGCCCCTCCGCTGACCCTGACCACCAGTGGACTGGCAGCAGCATGGCTCTGGGGAAAGTTACTCTACCTCTCTGTTCTTTCATTTCCTCATTTATAAAAGGAGATGGAGTCAACCCTTCATAGGCCTTTTGTAAAGATTGAAAAGAATTAGGGCTAAGTTCTCAAGGTCACCTTGAATCAGCCAGTCTCGCTGATGGCTGAGTCCACTTCTGGTTTCTACCTTGACCATGTCATCCTCAGATGTGCTTGCTATTCCTCTGTGCCAAGCCCTACTGTGAAAATGCCAAGGCCTTTCCCGTTTCAGGAAATCCCTTGAGATCCTTGTCACTCCCCTGGCACAGGCCTACTCCACAGCATGCCTGACAGTGGCTCTTGCTCCTGGGCCACCCTTTTGCCAGTGCATCCCTGTTTCCCTTGTTAATCAGCCTTAGCAGAAGAGACTGGAAGATGAGTTGCTCCGGATGCCTCTACATTGAGCTATCTATAATGATTTATTTGGACTCTCATTGTGGACTCATTAGTGGCTGTTACCAAATGGTGACTTATTTAACTTTAACTAGTGCAGGACAGGCGTTTGCACCCTCCAGTTTACTGCTAGGGGAGAGCTCTGAGTTTTCACATGTTGGGATCCGATGCACATCTCAGCTTCAGTTATTAACTCTTCAGGCCTCCTCATGTGTCTGTTGCATCCCAAGGGGCCTGGCTGTGCTTACCTACCTCCTGGCCCTAGGGTTTCTGATAATCACCTGTAGGACTTCAGGGTCAGACACTCATTGCTGGCCTTGGGGAAAATAAGTGCTTGTTAGAGAGCGTGTGTTTCCTGCCCCTTAGATGTGAAGGAATTTATTTATGCCTTCCTGTCTGTGGTCTCTTAAATGATACAATCCACACAGGAAAAGCCTCAGGCCTGGCCTGCATGCTCTGAGGGAACTAGTAGCATTTATCACTGGTCCAGGGGAAAGCTGAGCGGCCCGCCCCCCCCTGCCCCCTTCCTGCGCCACAGCAGCACTCCCGCTGCTCCGCTCAGGTCTCTAGACCTCAGGCCGTTCAGAGCAGGTTCTGACCAGGTTCTGACCCGCCTCTGGAACCAGAAATTGTCACCAGATATTGTCAGCTTAAAATGTACGGCTCTCCCCCTCATCTCTCCCTTTCTCACTTTTTTTCCCCCCTTCCCCTCTCTTCCCTTCTTCTCTCCCTCCTTCCTTTCCTCTTTCCTTTCTTTTCTCTGCTGGAGATGGAACCCAGAGCCCTAGACATGCTGGGTCCAGGCTCTACCTCAGAGCCACGCCCTCCAGTCAGGACCACAGAGAAGCAGCTGTTGGCAGGATTTAGGGAGGACAAAGTCTGCTTGCCCTGTAGTACTTTCTCACTCTTTAAGCTATATTTGCTTGATTTGCATGAACAAACACAAAGTGACTTTCAAAGGAGGAATTCCTTCTTGTCATGTTTAGAATACAAACTAGTCCAGATCTACCCCCTCCCCCCCAGATTCATATATGGGGCTCAGGTTACACAGTAGGCAATTCCTTCAGCGCAGTTGCCTGAGGGTGAGGCCAGATGCCTGGGCAGGGCCTCTTGAGTCAGGAAGGATCAAGTTCTGAACTAGCTTGCACATGGCGTCATGGGGTGGCAGGTGGGTGGTCCAGGAACACTGAAGAGGGCAGGGGGAACGCTGTAAGGCTCTGCCCTTCTTGGTGAGATCTCAGTGTGAATGAGGGAAGCCCACCTCTGCTGGGAGGAGGGGTGGGGAGAATGATGAAAGGGGTGACATAGATCAAGATGCACTGCACTGATAAACTGATTGGTTGAATGGTAAATTTTTCATACAACTACTTAGCAAAAATAAAAACAGTCTTTTTAAAAGCCCTCCCCACCTCCATCCCACACTGTGAACCCCAGTCTGGATCCCCGTTGCATGTCATTTGTCTCCATTAGAATAAACATGACAGTGGGATCCTGATCACGTTTAGACCATCTGGCCCTAAGAAACAACACACTCCCATATAAATCGAAATGGGAATTTTTAAAAGGAGAATGAGCTCATGACACCCAGTGAACTGGGTATGTGTGTGTGTGTGGGGGGGTGGTATGTGAACACCTTTTAGAATATGGATTGCAAGCTGTCTGTCTGTCTCTGTTTCTCTCTGGCTATATGGCTTCCCTTACTCCAGGCATAGCTACCCCGAATCACATGATTTATCAGGTTCAGCCCCACACCTGAGTCACCAGGTAATACAAGAGGGAATCTGATTGGCCACTGGCCTCTGAATTGGTCTCTGAGCTTCTGGATGACCGGAGTAGGCTCACACATGTTATGGAGTTCCATGGGGGAGAAGGAATACGTTCCTGCCATTAGCCATCAATACATCCAGCTGCATTCTCTTACTGAATCCTCACAACCCCCTGTGAAACAGGTCATGGTGTTGCTCTGGGTTTATGAGTCAGGGAACTACTGCACAGAGCAGTGAAACAACTTGTTTAGAATGATCGAGTCAAGAAGTAAACCTGGCAGTCTGGCTCCCAGAATCTGTTTCCAGTCACTTCTCAGCATTGATTGTCTTACACAGTTTCTGTGTAATGTGGACGTTTGAGCATTTACTGCTGTGGTGTATGAACAGATAGTCCGGAGGTTCCCTGGTCTGGGTAGTTGGGAAATAGAGCCTTTCCTATCTTGACAGCTTTCCTCTCTCTCTGCACTGTTATTGCATATCTGTAATCCTACTTACTCAGAAGGCTGAGATCTGAGGATCACAGTTCAAAGCTAGCCCAGGCAGACAAATGAGAGAGACTTTCTCTTCAATTACCTAGCAAAAAGCCAGAAGTGGAGGTGTGGACCAAGTGGTAGAGCTCCAGCCTTGGCTTTTTCTAAAGCAAAGAAAATACACAAAACCCAAGTCCCACTTGTGGCACATACACACAGAAAGCTTTGCTGTGTGGCTGCTGCTTGCCTTGGCCTCCAACCTGCACATTCTCAAGGCCTCTTTCCTGGTGTTTCTTTGTTCAGACAAGAACGAGAATGGCGAGGCATACCAGAGGAAGAAAGTGGCGACCGGCTTCCCAGAGGGCCCTGCTCCCCTGGCATCACCTCCAGGCAGTGTGGCTCAGCCTGGCAGTGGCAGCTGGAGGAGAATTGCTCTGCTCATCCTGGCCATCACCATCCACAATGTACCAGGTGAGGTCTTATGCTGAGCTCTCAGCTACCTGCTTGCAGGTAAAACCACTTGTCAGACAGCTTGTCATTATCAGCCTGGAAAGGGTAAGGACAGTGGCAACATGGAGAGTTTTGGAGGGGAGTGGAGGTCGGGGTACAAGCCATTCTCGACTTCATGTTTTGGGCCGTTCATTGTAGAGTGACCGTGTCTCACTCACTCTAAACAGTTATTGAGATTTCTACCCAGGAGTTCTTTTCTTTAGATATTTGGTACTAAATTATTTGGAGTATGATTTTATGACTTACTTGATTGCTGAGTTCTAGGGTGCCTTTTTTTTAAATTGTAAAGGTGATACACAGAGGGGTGGTTACAGTTACATAAGTCAGGATATGAGTACATTTCTTTTCATAAAGTGTCTTCTGTTCCCTCAAGCTCTCCCAGTCCTTCCCTCCTGTCTCCACCCATGACCTGTATCGTTTCCTTTCATCAGTGTCCAGTGAGTTCCTCTGCTACACTCGAGTTCTATACCCTCCCCCCAGCCCTTCTGAAGATGTACCCTTGAATACACCATGCATAAGGGAAAGAAGATAGAATCCCCCCCAAAAACAAAAACCTTAAAAAATTTAAAAATACAAAGAGAAAAGAGGTCTCTTGTTCCATGTCTTGGAGTTCCTTTTGATATGTATATTATTTTATGCAAATATGAACAGGCACTTAGGCTTTGAGCCTTTGTTTCTCTCCTAACCATATCCTTTGTTGATCTCACTGTGTGAATGTCTAGAATCCTGTATAATTTATCATATCCCAGTGTATTTTAAGTATTTCCATACATCAAAGAGAACATGTGGCATTTGTGTCTCTGAGCATGGCTTACCTTACTTAACATAATTTGTTCTAGGTCCATCCATTTCCCTGCAGATGACATTATTTTATTCTTTCTATTGGCTATGTAAAATTACAATTGTGTATAGGTACCACATTTTTCTGATCCATTCATCTATTGGGAAGTATTTGTGCTGTTTCCATATCTTGGCTATTGTGAATAGTACAGCAATGAACATGGATGTGCAGGCGTCTTTATCATATTCTGGCTTATGATGTTCAGGGTAGATGCTCAGGAGTAGTATGGCTGAGTTGTAGGGAAGATCTATGTTTAGTTTTTAGATGAATCTCTGGACTGCTGGCCAGAGTGGTGGTACTAGTTTACATTCCCACCAACAGTGCAGTAGAGTTCCTTTTTCCCCACATCCCTACCAACATTTGTTGTTGTTCAAATTCACAATGTTGTCCAATCTACCTGGGGTGAGATGGAATCTCAGACTTGTTTTGATTTGCATTTCCTTTATGGCCTAGAATGATGAGCATTTTCTCATGTATTTCTTTGTCGTTTTTACCTCCTCTTCTGAGAAATCTCTCCTTAGCTTCCTTGCCCATTTAGTGATTAGTTTGTTAGGTTTGGGAGGGGTTAGTTTCTTGAGCTCCTTGCATACATTGGATATAGGCCTTTGCCAGGTATATTGCTGGTAAAGATCTTCTCCCAATCTGTTGGCTGTCTTTCTGGTTTAGTAACTGTGTCCTTAGCTGTGCAGAAACTATCTGTTGTGTCCCTGGACTCTTTTCAAGAAGTTTCTACCTATATCTGTAAGCTCTAATGTTTCTCGTACTCTGTCTTACAGTAGTTTCAAAGTTTCAGGTCTGATATTGAGGTCTTTGATGGACTTTGAATTTATATTAGTGCATGGTGCCAAACAGGGATTCATTTTTAGTTTTCTGCATATAGATGCCTAGTTTTCCCAGCACCAATTATTGAAGAGACTATTCCCCCCCCCCCCCCCCCCACTGTATATTTTTGGCTTCTTTATCAAATATTAGATAACTAAGTGTATGGTTTTATTTCTGGGTCTTCTAATCTGTTCCATTGATCTCTATCTCTATTTTTGTGCCAATAACAAGCTGTTTTTGTTATTACAGCTTTGTAGTAGAGTTTAAGGTCTGGTATTTTGATATCACCTGCATTGTATTTTTGTTGTTAGTTTGTTTTGTTTTGCCTAGAACTGCTTGGGCTATTATAGGTCTTTTGTTGTTCCACATGAATTTTTGGATTGTTTCGTCTGTCTCAGTAAAAGGAACATATTAGAGTTTTGATGGGTATTATGCTGAAGTTTTATACAATTTTTGGCAGTATGGCCATTTTCTACTTATCCATGAACATGAACACCATTTTCTGGTGTCCTCTGTGATTTCTTTCTTCAGATTTTTGTAGCTTTCACAAATCTTTTATGTGTTTGATTAGGCTTATTCCTAGGTATTTTTTTGAGGCTATTGCAAATGAAGTTGTTTTCATGATTTCCCTTTCTACTTGTACATGGTTGGCATACAGAAAGGCTACTGTTCTTTGTGGGTTAATTTTGTATGCTGCTACTTTGCCAAAGTGGTTGATCAGCTCTTGGAGGTTGGGGATGGAGTCTTTGGGGTCCTTTAGGTATATAAGATCATGTTGTCTGCAAATAGGGATAGTCTGACTTCTTCTGGTGCTCAATGTGAATCCCTTTTATATCCTTTTCTTTCCTTATTGCTCTGGCTAGAAATTCCAGAACTATGCTGAAGAGAAGTGGAGATAGTGGGTATCCTTGACTTTTTCCTGATTTTAGGGGAAATGGTTTAGTTTCTCCCCATTTAGTATGATATTGGCTGTTGGTCTGTCATATGTAGCCTTTATTATTTTAAGGAGTGTTCCTTCTATTCCTAGCTTTGCCAGTGCTTTTCAGATGAATGAATGTTGTATTTTGCCAAAGGCTTTTTCAGCATCTGTTGAGATGATCATGTAGTTCTTGTCTTTGGCTCTGGTGTCATGGTGCATTACATTTATTGATTTGCGTATGTTAAACTAGCCTTGCATCTGGGGGATGAAGCATACTAGTCATAATGTTTGATTTTTTTTCTATTTGTTTTTGGATTCTATTGGCTAGTATTTTATTGAAGAGCTTTGCTTCTGTGTTCATCAGAGAAATTAGTCTGTAGTTCTCTTTTTTTTTGTTGGATCCTTGCTTGGTTTTGTGATGAGTGTGACATTGGGTTCAATTAATGAGTTTGGAATTGATCCTTCTGTTTCTATTTCATGTAAAAGTTTGAGAAGTATTGGTGTTAGATCCTCTTTAAAAGTCTTAGAGAATTCAGCTGTGAACCAATCCAACTAAGTCTTTGTTGGAAGACTTTTGATTACTTCCTCAATCTCTTTGCCTGTTATTGGCCTGTTTACTTGCCTGTTTAACTGGTTTATATCTTCTTGGTTCAGCTTAGGAAGATTGTATGTCTCTAGAAATTTGTTCATTTCTGCTAGGTTTTCCTTCTTTTTTGAGTATTGATTTTGAAAGTAGTCCTTTATAATCATTTAGATTTCTTGGATGTTTGTTGTAATGTATCCTGTGGCATATCTGATTTTATTGATTTGAATCTTGTCTCTTTTAACAGCAGTCTCTCTAGTGGTCTGTCAGTTTCAGTCTTTTTTTTCAAAGAACCAGCTTTTTGTTTCATTGATTTTATGTATTTTTTATGTTTTTTTAGTCTTTATTTCATTAATTTCTGCCCTAATTTTGCTCCCTCCATCTAGTAGTTTTGAGTTTGGCTTGTTCTTGTTTTTTTCTTTTTTAGAAATTGTAATTGCATCATGAGGTTATTTACTTGAGCTATTTGGTTTTTTTATGTGTATATTTAGTGCTGAGAGGAAAGTTTATAACCCTATAAACTTTCCTCTCAGCACTACTTTTGCTGAATCTCAGAGGTTCCATTATGATGTGTGTTCATTTTCATCAAATTGTAAGAACTTTCTAATTTCTTCCTATATTTCTTTCATGACCCATATGTTATTCAGTAGTGAGTTATTTAGTCTCCATGAATTGAGTATTGTTGAGAACTAGTTTGATTCCACTGTGGTCAGATTCAATGCAAGGAGTTACCTCATTCCTCTTGTATTTGCTTAGGTTCTTTGTGTGACCTATGGTATGATCATTTCTGGAGAAGGTTGCATGGATTGCAAGGTGAAGAATTCTGTAGGTATCTGTTCAGTCCATTTGGGTTATAGTGTCACTTACTTCAGAGGCTTCTTTGCTTATCTTTTGTTTGGTTGGCCAGTCCTTTGGTGAGAATGGCATATTAAAATCTCCCACTATTATTGTGTTGGGATCTTTCATATTCTCTTAAGTCCAAAAGTGTCTCTTTAATGTAGTTAGGTGCTCCATTGTTTGGTGCATAAATATTGACCGCTGATCTCTTCATGGATCATTCCCTTTGTTAATATGTACTGATTTTAATGAAAAATCTTTTATCAGATACCAAAATAGCTACTTCAGCCTTCTTGTAGGGTGTACTTGCATGAAATCTTTTTCCATCCTTCATTTGGAATGTGTTTTTATCTTTCACTGTGAGATAGTTCTCTTGGAGACAACAGATCAATGGATCTTGTTTTGTGATAAAATCTGCTGCTCTACTTTTGGTTGGGGAATTGAGTCTGTTAATTTTAAGGTGATTATAGAGAAATGTGTCATGTTTCTTGACATTTTCTTGATTTCCTGCATTTTGCTCCTTACCTCTTCCTGTGCTTACTAAACTAGTCTTCTATTGATTTTTGCTTAATGTGCTTCCTTAACTTTGGTATCTTCAGATTGTATGCCTCCCTTAGTATTCTTCGTAATGCTGGTTTAGTGTTCATGAATTCTTTTAAATTTTGTCATGTAAGATTTTAGTTTCACCATTAACTGTAAATGATAGCTTCACTGGGTATACTAGTTTGGGTTGGCAGTTACTGATCTTCAGAACTTGAATTACACCACTCCAGGCTCTCTTTGCATTGAGAGTTTGTATGGAGAGATCTGCAGTGATTCTGATCTTTTTTTCAATTGTAATATAGCTCCTTCTCTGATTTTTCTGTATTTAAAATTCCTTGTTTTTTAGTCCATAGTTTTCACTACAATGTATCTAGAAGTATTTCTTTTGGGTGCTCTCTACTAGGGCTTCTGTATAC